TTTTTCGAGACAGGGTTTCTCTGTGTAGCTTTGCGCCTTTCCTGGAACTCACTTGGTAGCCCAGGCTGGCCTCAAACTCACAGAGATCCGCCTGGCTCTGCCTCCCAAGTGCTGGGATTAAAGGCGTGCGCCACCACCGCCCGGCTGTATCTATTTTAATATCTGTCAAAATTGACTTTCAATCAATGCAAACCAGAAAAGATAGGCAAGGATAGTATATACTCATGAAAGGAAAAATTCACCAAGAAGATATTACAAATGTAAACATTTATGCATCAAATACAAGAGCACTAAAAGAAACAGGACTACATCTAAATCACTTATCAAGGCATCATTCAACCTTGAGTCTCCGCCATGGCTTCCCTCAGTGATGGAATGTGAAATAGATCCATTACTCCCCCAAGTTCTTTTTGATCAGAGTTTCCCTGAAGAGAGGCCAGGAAGCCATTGATGAGGGTGAAGTCTCAGCTACAATGGAGATCCTGGCATGTTGGAGATGTCAGGACTCCAGGATAAATGCCAAGGACAGCAGGTGTGGAAGGGAGCTAGCCTGAGCCAATGAGACAAGCTACATGGGTTGCAATGGGAGATAGGGGCTCCTCACTGTCTGTGGCACCCAGCAAATCATGAGTGAGTTCAAAATGAAAACCGCTGAGGTATGGGATTTGAGCTACACTGCTAGATTCTAGTTTTGCTTAAATGTGATTGTTTTTATGCTTTGGTTCTTCCTCTTGGAGTAGAATTAATAACTTGGTTTTTTTTTTAATTCTAAAAGAGCCCAAAGTTTAGATACTGGATATTAAAATAAGATATAGATATAAGATATAGAATAAGATAGGGAATTTTTGTTTGTTTGTTTTTTGAGACAGGGTTTCTCTGTGTAGTTTTGGTGCCTATCCTGGATTTGCTCTGTAGACCAGGCTGGCCTCAAACTCACAGAGATCTGCCTGGCTCTGCCTCCTGAGGCTGGGATTAAAGGCGTGCACCACCACTGCCTGGCTAGAATTTTTTTAAGTTATTTTGTGTGTGTGTGTGCATTGGTATTTTGCCTACATGTATATCTGTATGAGGGTGTTGGATCTGCTAGAACTGGAGTTACAGACAGTTGTGAGCTGCCATATGGGTGCTAAGACTTGAACCTGGGTCCTCAGGAAGAACAGCCAGTGCTCTCAACCACGGAGCCATCTCTTCAGCCCTGAGATGCAGAACTTTTAAGTGATGACATTGTTTGTTTGTTTGAAGACTGAGACCTCTAAAGTTGTACTGTATATTAAATCTGTAATAATATTACCATGGCCTGGGGGTAAACTAGAGAGGAAAGGTTATGATTCAGCAATGACATGTTTGTCAAATTGACAAGGGATGAACCCGTGATGATGAATATTCTGTGGTCAACTTGACAGTTCTGGGAAGAGGCTCTATTAGACTGTCCTGTGGCATGTCTGTGGAGCGTTTTCTTGATTAATGGTTGATGTGGAAGAGCCCAGCGCACTGTGGACTTATCTTTTATAGGCAGTTGAGCCTAGACTATTTTAGAAAGGTTGGTGAACATGAGCATGGAAGTAAGCCATTAACCAGAATTCCTCCATGGATTCTGCTTCAGTTCCTGACTCCTGGTTTTGGCTACGATGATGGACTATAAACTATAAACTGAAATAAACCCTTTTCTCTCCCAAGTAGATGTTGGTCATGTGTTTAGCCCAGCAACAGAAATCAAACTTAGACAGGACGTCAAGCAGGTACTTGTGGATCCCTAAGAGTTTGAGACCAGTCTGGACTGCATAGAGAGTCCTAAGACAGCCAGAAGTGCACACACTGTGAAGTCCCATCCACACACTCAAAGAAATTCCCTCCTCAAGCCCAGAAATACAAACAAAAACCCCAACAAAATTCATCCAAACCGCCGGGCGTGGTGGCGCACGCCTTTAATCCCAGCACTCGGGAGGCAGAGCCAGGCGGATCTCTGTGAGTTCGAGGCCAGCCTGGGCTACCAAGT